AAAAACCTAATAACTAGCTTAATAGCAGAAGTGTACCTTAGAATCTTTGCAAATATGTAACTAATCTGTATGTCAACTCAAATCTTGTATGTCAACTCATGGTATTCATGATCTTTTATTTTGTTGTGAAAGTTTTGCTGTTAATGTATAAGATTATCTGATGTTGTACTGCTGCTTTCATTATTAGCTTTTGCCAGGGGAACTACCAAATTAGCACTACTAGGTGAGTGTCTTTAAGAAACCTTACTCTACTTTCAGATATCTCTAAGAAAAAAAAAAATATTGTTAACTACTCTACATAGATTCATGTGGTAAATCTCTTAATATGAAATTTCTGATACATGGTGTGTTGAGGATTGGTTAGCTGACAAGGGTCACATAGACATACTGTAGATGGCTGACCAGGATTTTGGGAAACATCGGACTCTGTTAGTCTGAAGTGCTGGGGTGGTAAGGACACGCTGTCCTTGACTGCAGCTGCTATACGATAACAGGATGCTTACGGTCAGCTAAGGCATGGGAACTTAAGGGAGTAAGTAACCAAGAATGAGGAACTAGGGGAGGGGTTGACGTTTAGGATAGTGACCAATTAATTAGTTAGGTTACAGAATATGTATGATCTCATTAAGAACTGTATAAGTATGCTGAACGCTAATCAATAAACGAAGCTTGCTGATCGCTCACATTGAGTGCTCAAGTTCTCCCACTGCGACAAAGGTGGATTGGAAAGTAGAATGAATTGTGTAAGCCAGGCCTAGCCATTTATTTTGGGATTTGGTCTGTTTTTGAGGAATAGGTACATTCCAGTGATATATAATTAATAATAGAATGGTTATTCCAGCTCTCAGTTAATGTATACTAAAATAAAACACCAAAATAATGCCAGTGCATATGAGATTATAAATTATTAACCCTTCATCCTCTGCTGTGTAACATTTAGGCTGTGTATCTGGGCTAAGGTTGTGTAAGCAACACGGCTGACCTAGCTGTAAGTGAGTTAGAGTATCCAAGCTGCTGCTAGATAGACAGTGAGATCTTGCAAGACTTTAGACAGACATTAGACCTTAGATGTATTAGACATGAAAGTCTTGAGAGAGCTATGTTCTTTTAGTAGCAATACAAAGTACATTTAATGCAGGCAATACAATTAAAAAAAAAATTGTCAAGGATGTGAATAAACTCAATATTTATAGAAGATCCAAAGATTAAAGGATGGATAAGTAAAAAAGCAAGTAGGTAACTAAATGAGAGGAATTCAGGGCCAGGAGCAAACCACATATTTGGAGCCAAACTTGCAACGTGCATCTAAGAACTAGTAAGGTAGCTCACACATTCAGGATGGGCTGCAGATGCTTTACCTCAGGAAACACTGATTACTGAAGAAGTCCTGAGTACCATCATGGTTAGTCAGATAAATCTGATTTCCCAGTAAATATTGCTAAAGTCAAAATTAATTCCGTGCATATATATAACCAGGGGTACAGGGAGAGGGACGTGCTATTATGAGCTTATATAAAAACCTCAGAAATTCACAGTATCTTTAATGTTAACATTGTAAGTTAAATTAAAAATTTTTTTAACTTCTATCGGCAGGTAATTGATTGCTATCTATAACTACTTCTATAGGCAACTGATAGATAATAGTAATAAGCTCTTTCTCTAGTGGGGAAAAAGGTATAACAGGACCCAGTGGGAAGAACTGGAAGCTAAGCTCTTGCATAGCAGAAATAAGGTCCAGCTTTTTTTTTTTTTTTTTTTTTTTTTTTTGCATTCACAATGTTTAGCTGTGATTGAATCTGCATTAATGAACATGTTAAAAAATAATTACTTTTAAGATAGCTCAGCTTCAGCTAGAGCTTTTAACTGGAAAGACTTATTTCAGGGAGGTTATATGTGGCCTCTGTTCAAGGATTAGTTAGTCTAGACAGATTTGTAATTTCCTTTTTACCTTAATCTAAAAATCATTGAAGTATGGTATCATTCAGAGAAGTTATTGCGTAGTTAAAACTGTGTTAGTGTTTTTCTAAATGCATAAAGGACCAATAGCAAGATACTTTCCCTCACTACCTAAGTATAAGATTTTTTTTCTGCAAGATTTGAATGCCTCCTATATCTTGAAAATATACAGTACTGCTATTTTTAGACAACACTGCAAAAGAAAAGAGACGAGTTTTCTCATTTTAATTGTCAATCCTGAAAACAAAAATATCAAAATTTAACTAAAACATACCTTTAACATCTGATTGAATGAATCTCCCAAGCTGGTCCATGAGGCTGTGCTTATTTCAGTAAGGAAGGAATGGATAATAAGCTGCCTTATCACTGTGATCATTGCTAGGTAATGGCTTTTATAGAAAACTAAATGGGAGGTCATATTCGATGACACATAACACTGGGCAATTTACCTGCCAGGGTTGCTATGTTTTGCCTTTAAATAATATAGTCTACAACATAAAAAAGAAGATTAGTTTTATGACAGGATAAGATGTTAATATTTATATATATTTCAAGTACATATTATACTAATAACATTAGAAATGCAGGCTTGTCTTGTGCATTGCATCACCTTGCAAATTTCTTCTGTAATTTTTCCTTTTATTTTAGAAAGAACAGTCATCTTCACTAAAATTCTGCGCTGTTCAGAACTGCATAGGTTGTCTTTACATAGATAAGGAGTTCTTCCTGCTCTGGAAGGAAATACATGTCTGCCACTAGGTTTCCACCAGCAGTAGGATGCAGTTCATCCACACTTTGAATAGCTGTCTTCATAACCAGCTCCAGATTTCATGCTCTCATGGGCTTCAGCAAAAATGAGCGGTTATTCTTGAGAAATAACCCCCTGGGCAAGGTTGAAAATGCATGCAGGGTCAATCATTCCACTAACTCCTTACGAAAAAGTACAGAGACTGCTTTTGCGTTAGATATGTGGTATGATCTTGTTTGAAATTTGTTTCAGTGAAAGAACTGTGTATCTAATAAAAGACAACAAAAAATACTAGAAAATTCAGACCTGGGATGTTCTTGATTAATGCTTCAGGAAATAATAATAATTAAAACTCCCCCTTCACATTCCCTTTCTGATCTGCAGGGGTGGGAATGGCTGCTGCTTCTTTCGTTCGCTAGCTTAGTAATAGTCCAGTTGATTGTTCACAGTGTTCTTGGGTTATTAGGTTATTAGCTCGGCCCCTCAGTGCCTCACTATCTAGTTGTTTGATGACTGTTTTCTGGCCATGTTCAAGCTACAAGGTAAAGCACTGAACTCCATTTAGTCATTCCCGTGTAACAGGCGGAAGATTTCTGTACTCAGCTTCTTGGAAAGCCCTGCTCTGTTTGTCACTTTTGCCTCACAGATGAGGCTCTCTGCTGGGGAAAGCTCTGCGTGGCGTTTGCGTGCACTCAGGCAGCAAAGTGCTTAACAGTAAACTATTTTCTAACATCTGTATGTAACTCAACCGCATCTAATGCACTGCCAAGCAGTTATTTGCAGATCCACTGAGTCCTGTTAACACAAACCACTAATTCGCTGTACCCACACAACCTCTCTTCCTTGAGTTGCTGGAGTTCTTAAAGCAAATTATGTTGGTCTTTTATGCTGATATGTGCATATGATTAAGAAGTACAAACTGTAAGTTGCTCTCTACACAGCAAATACGATTCATCTTACTGTTTGGTTGGGAATTTTGTTTGTTGTTGGTTTTTCGTTTTTGGTTTTTTTTTTTTTTTTTTTTTAAATTCTGTGAGTTAATGTCTTACAGAGTTTTTATGCCTATGTGATACTTTAGATGAACACGGCTTGTGTTCTCTGGTTGTGTTTTACCAAAGAAATTAATTTTTGAAAATTACTTTCTTTTATGGTTGTTTTACACTCAGTCTTAAGCAAACACTAGGGGGCGAAAACCAACCATCTTGTGTTCGTTCATCTTTCCCAAATGGCTTGCGCACAAAGCTTTCAGGTTATAAACTGGTCACAGGGAGCTTGGTTTGTCCACTCACTCCTTGCAGTGTGTATCTGGTTAGCTAAACAGCACGTTCCATAATACTTAATGCAGTAAAGGTTAGGAAAGCCAACTAATGACTGAGATGGTTGAGATTTTTTGCATTCATCCATACTGTAAATTTTGTACTGAAAATGTTATTTGAAGTCAGTTGTCAGTGCTGTTCAGTTCTTGTGTTATGGTGCTCAATTTAAAAAAAATGCTGAAGCCAGCTTAACTACATAGCTACTTGCTGAGACAAATAGATAATGTGTTTCTGATAAAGTTATTTATTTATAGCCTAGTTGCAGCAAAATGTCTTGTAGGAATTCTTATGGGCTGCTGAGAGAGAATGCATGCATACATACATACACACATAGACACATGTATATTCGGTGCATATTTAGCTTTTATTGGACAATTTTTTTTTTCCTCCAGAAAATGTCAGTGTTTCCTTCCAACTTCTGTTTCATTGCATGAGGCTCTGCAAATGCTTTATTGACATTAATGCTTCTTGTAATGTTTTCCTTAGTTCTCTTTTGTTAATAGAAGCATCTAAAATTTTATCTCCTTTGAAGACAGAGGAAGCAATGCAGTTGCTAATATAGCAGACTGCAAATACTCGGTTCATATAGAAAATATTAGCAAAAAAGAAAAACTGATCAGAAAAAAAAAAGGTGACCAGTGTCTGGACTGTTACAGTGCTTTGTCATTGCCATTTCATGGCAAATGCTGGGATATGTGGAAAATGGTAACTAATTGTAATGCAAACATCTGTCTTGGTCCTTCCTTCAAAGCAGGTATGCCACTGGATTCAGACATGGGGGGGTGGGAGGGGGGGGAAGGGGTAGGGCTGCAGAAGAAGGGGCTTAAAGAGAGTTTGAGGACTCATTGGGTCAGTCTCTGTGTTGAGGCAAGATCAGCTATGACTGAGGAAATTAGAAGCTCTCATCAATGCTTTCTAGTACTCTACAGATACTAGAAATGTCTTTATTTTTTGTTTTCTGGTATCTATCTTATCTTGCCATAAATTAAACTGGTTACACATTTTCTCATCCCCTTGTATATGGAAAATTGTTTATTACTCTTTCCTTTGAAGGAAAAGTATTTATCACTTTCCCCCCACAATCTTCCCTTAGTTATACAGGTCAAGTATAACTCTTTACATCTCTCTTAATAGAATCATAGAATGGTTTGGATTGGAAGGGACCTCAAAGATCATCTAGTTCCAATCCCCCCGCCTTCAGCATAATGGGCCATATTTTCTACATCAAACATTCATTGTTCTTGCCACTCTCTCCTGAGCCCTTTCCAAGTGGTCTTCATCATTTCTGAAGAGTGGTGCCCAGGATACAACACAAGAGACAAATCCTTTCCGATGCTGGATGGAAAAGAGCTTTTCCATGTCATGTAGAAAAATTCAATTTAAAATTTCCTGTATAAAATTTGCTCTTTTCAGTTTTGCCTTTTATTGCTTAACATTTTATTTTTGAATAAGTGAAACATCCAGATAATTTTTAAAGAATTTATTTGCTAGTTTGGTTATCACATCTGAAGTTCAAAAATACTACTCTTTGCTTCACTGAAGCTGCACATTATTCATTTCGGTGCATTAAGATAATTTTGAATTCTGTCCCACATCTGCCAGCATGCTATTGTACCTCCCAGGTTGTTCTCATTTGTCAGTTTAAATGTACAACCTATTCCGTCATCCAAGTCATTAATGGTAATACTGAGTAGCATCAGATTAGCAAATTATCAGTGTTTGTCCTGAACCAGCCCTTTGCACCTGCTAGCCACCTGTACCATGGAGTAAATCACAGCACAAATTGAGCCATGTGGAGGCATGGGAGCAGCTTATGGCTTCAGATTTTAACTTCACTCTATCTGACTGGTAACCAGGATTCGGGTGTTTAGGAGGGAAAAACATACTGGCCTTCCCATACTAAAGAATTACACCTTGCAATGTGCGTCTGCAAGGCACTGAAAGAGGATAAGTTTGCCTTGGAGACAACTCTGTGGCATGTATTCAAGATTTGTTGTTTTTCCTCAGTTTATAATTTTGGCTGATATTGATACATTTCATTGATGAAAGGAGGAAGTTTTGGCAATAACAGTGAAAGAATGTTTTCTCCATACTTGGGAAATAATTTTCAGTCAGAACATGGGGAAGATAAATTGTTCCTCTGGGATGATTCAGGGAGCAGGCTGCTTCACTGTCAGAGTATATACAGCTTGCAGACAACCAGTGAAAGCACAACCAGCATGAGTGCTGTATATTTTAAAAATATAGGTGTAGGAGGAGCTGGTGGTAATTGAAGAAGAGTTCCTTTTTTAAGCACAGCTTGAGGCAGGAGATTTGGTACCAGGATTAACGAGGTCAGATACTGTGTGACGTGAAAAAAATTCTGCTGCATTCAGCTGAGCCACAAATGATAGACAGCAGGAGTGGGATTGTGCTGGGACATATGAAACGTAAATAGAAGCTAAAGGTGTGCTGAGAAGTGACAACACAGTTCTTTATGTTTAAGTAGAACAAATACAATATAAAAAAAAATAAAATCCTTGCAGCGCTATCTCTTCTCTTTGTTTGTAGTTTGCAAGACCTTGAGCTCTGTTCCTCCCCTAGGTACAAATGTCTGATTGGATTATTAATGTTGCATCAACTTTGAGCTTGTTTGTTTTAGCCTTGACTCACTAAATTTAATTTTCTTAAAACCGACTGTTAATTTCAATTGCTAGTCAAATAGCAAGTCTAGTTTTGAAAATCACAGAACACTACTTTGAGCAGAAGATTTGCCTAATTTATCTTCTCATCACCTTCATTTTATGTGTATTTATTCACCTGTCTATCTTTTTTAATATTATTAAATTGGCTGTGGAAGTGATTTTTGTTCAGTGCTTGTAAAGCATCCAGCACAGTAAGGTTCTGCCTTAGGCTACTAGGTGCTTCACCTGTGCAATCTGAGTTGCACTTGGTCAACCAAAACCTCTCAGTAGCTGCTGTACTGCATTTCATGATTATAGTTATGGGTTTATTGTCCAAGAAACAAATTCTTTCATCACTATAATTTTATGGAACTAACAATGCTTGCAGCTATACATCAAAAAGATATTTGCCTTTTGAATGCTTCATCTCAAAAAGGTCACGACAGAATCCACACAAGTACAGAAAAGGGTGACTGGGACTATAAAGCTACAGAACAGTTATATCTCATAAGTTTGTAAGCCGTGACTTAGTACTAGAACAGGGAAATACTTGTTCACATTATATGCACTTCAGTTCTGGAACTCAT